AAAAAAAAAAGAGTGAGATCAGAAGGGCTTTCCTTCCCAAGGCTCAGAAGACACAAGCATGATGACTTCCAGAACTACAAACACATCCCAGCAGAGTGGAGAGAAGGGTGATGGGAGATCTGAAGAGCTTCACAGACAAGGTGCTAAGTTGGGGCAATGCCCATTAGCAAAGTCACAGGAAGACAACCCAAGAAGGCAAAATGACTCAAGACAGAGTTTGTGGAGGTGCCAAACTAGACAGTGCAGGACAAGGAGAGAAAAGAGAGAGGAAGGATGTGATGGGGCATCCACACCGCCTCCCCTATACCACCCCTAAAATGGCCTGGAGCCCATCTTTGAGAGCCTGTCCTGGAATTCGAGTTACAGTGTATTTTGTGGACTCCCACTGCAGCACCAGGTATCTGCCAGAGACTAGAGCATGGCTCACACCCTTGGAGTTGTGCTACTGAACAAGGAGAGCACAGACTAACATGTAGTGCTGAGTAGGAGGCTGAACAGAGAGAACTCAGCACCACTAGGAGTGGGATCCTGCAAGGCCAGTATCCAGAAGAACAGGAAGCAAGCTGGGCCCTTGCCTACAAAAGGCAGCAAGCAAGATCGTGTAGCTCAGTTGTTCTCAACCTTCCTCATGCGGTAGCCCTTTAATACAGTCACGACCTACAGGTTGAGAAACCACTGGTATAGCTAATGGGGTGAGAGAGGGAGGCAACCAAAGGAACAAGGAAAGAAACAGGGATGATCACCGGGAGCTAGAGGGCAGAAGATAAAACCAGCCAAGGCCTAGAAGGCCCCAGACACTAGCTCTGTAGGCGGAGCCTGCCAGGACTGCAGAAGCCAGACCTGCCCACCGTGACAGAGTGAGCACAACACAAGTACCAACTTCAAGGTGCCCATGGCAGAGAGGAAGTCACAGAAAATAGGGGAAGGGAGCAAATGACAGCTTCTTGGAAGATATGATGAAGAAAGCATCAACAGAACGTCTATCATAAGTAAAAAGGGGAAGGTGGAAAGTGCAATGGGGAATGGGGCCCTGAAAAATGTGCATGGACTTCCTTTGATTTAAGACCAGTCAGCCAAATCCTAGGCAGGCAGTGCTAGGAGCTGGGACAGAACTTGGTGTCAGCCTGGAGGCAACAGCAAAGACCAAAGAGGATGGAGGGATTTATTCAGGTAAGCACAAGAGATGAAGATAACTTCCAGGGAAAGGCACATCTGGAGAAAAAAAATGAAGTCAGAAGTTGACACAGCAAGCCAGGTAAGAGGTTAGCTACCACAGGGTCATCCTGAACCCCACATGGGAAACAGGAGTGGAGCTAAGGGCACAAAGAGAAGAGCTGCATGGGGGCCACCAGGAGCATGCAGGGCCCAATCCCCAGATGGTAGGAAAGGCCTTGTCCACTGATACTCTGTCCTCAATTATTTCCAGACACCTGCTTGCCAGGCTGTTGCAAAGCATGTTTAGGTTCTTGATAGAGAGGAAAGCAAAGAGCTGGGTACAGGGAAAACTCAGAGCTTCAGGAGCAAACAGTGACAACCAGAATGTGAGTCCCACATTGGCAGGGGTCTTCATTTATTAATACCCCTGGCAACTAGTGTGTGGTAGGAGCTCAATCAAAATTTGCAGGTGAGTGAATGAATGGTAGCCAAAGCAGTACGCACAGGTGACCAGATGAAAAAGAGCCTCAGGAGGCATTATGGGGGCAAACGAAAGAGGATGGGGGTGGGAGTGTATGGCAGCACCTAAGGGAACCCTGAAGGTGTGGAAATAACAGGCAGTGCCTTGGAAGGGAGGTAAGTCTAAGTCACTTCTCCCACCACAAAGGACCTCTTACTTACACCTGATGGGGTAGGCAGGGCTAGCTCAGCCACAAATGACTGGCAGACAAGCCCAGCAAAGGGAGGCCCCCCTAGAGAGCAAAGCCCCTGAGCCCCCCCCCACAGGTGTTTACAGTCAGCAGAGAATGTTTGGAGTTCAAACCCTCCACATACCTGAACTGTGCACCTCCCCCATGCCAGCAAGAGGGTGTGGCAGGGCGAGGTCAGCAAAGCCTAAAACCAGACCTAACTGCAGAGGTGCAGACCAGACCAGGCCAGATCAGTCCACCGGGCTGAGACTGGACCAGAACTTACCTCCCTGCGTTCCACATTCCTGGACCTAGACCAATCTCTTTTTCCTTTTGTTTTTGAGATAGTCTCATTTTGTCGTCCCCAGTAGAGTGCCCTGGCATGATAGCTCACAGCAACCTCAAACTCTTGGGCTCAAAAGATTCTCCTGCTTCAGCCTCCTGAGTAGCAAACCTACTACAACTTCCGGCTATTTGTCACTCTTGATCAGGCTGGTCTCGAACCTGTCAGCTCAGGCAATCCACCCGCCTAGGCCTCCCAGAATGCTAGGATTACAGGCAGCCCCGGTGCCAGGCCTTCAGGTAGATCAATTTCCACTAAATTGGACAACTCAGGACTACCAAGGCCTAACTTCAAAAAACAGGGTGCCATCAAGAACCCTGGAAAGGACGCCAGCCCCATATGCCTGAGGTGGTGGGTTCAAACCCAGCTCCGGCCAAAAAAAAAAAAAGAACCCTGGAAGGACCCTTCTCCGGGTCCAAGGCAGCCCCTCCCAACTCTAGACCTCAGGGAGGAAAAGTGAAAGTCATTCATTCAAGTACCCATCCATTCATTATAGCTGAACTGTAAGACTCTCTCCTAGAAACCAAGATTCAATCCTGTATATCTGACACCCCATGCCACCTTCTCACTTGCCCCAAAGCACAGACCCTCAGCATGAAACGTCCACACACACAGCCAACCTGCCTTTCCACTACCTTTCCCTTTCCGTACACTCCCACTCCTGCCTCTCTGAGGGCTCTCAGGTCCCACGTGTCAGCCCAGCTTTCCCAACCAGCCCACACGACCCGGCTATTGGGAAACTGGGAAATCGTGACAACCTCTAACCGGAAGCACCTGCCTCTGGTACAGATCCACCTGATCGCCACCAGGGACAGGCCATCACAAAGGCAAGGATTATGGACTTTGGCAGGGATACAGGCTCCCACCGGTCGGGGAGAATCAGGGACGCTCCTCTCAGGTGCTCCCAACCTGACCCCCGCCGCCAATACCGCCGCCGCCCACGGACCAGGAGCTTTCGGAGGTGTGATGTCACACCTGCCTGCAAATTGGGAGGGGTGCGGAGCAGGCGCAGGACCGCGCGCCGCACCCCGCGCCCCCACCCCAGCCTCCCTTTCGCCTTTCCCGGGCTAAAATGGCAGCAGCGCCGCCGCCCCACCCCCGCACCGACACGGCCTGCTGGCAGGGCCGCCGGCCCGAGGTTCCCAGGAATCCCAAGGCCCGCACCCTGGGAACCCTCAAGGCCCCGACCCCCGCCCGCAGTCACGTGAGACTGCCCCCCCACAGTTCGATTGCGTCAGAGTGACGTCACACATCGGACCCCGGGGAGCTGCAGGTCCGAGTCCCTCGCGCGCCCCCAGCCACCCCCGCCCCGCGGGCTCGTCCAGCCGCGGCGCTCACCACTGAAGACCATGGCGCACGAGGCGCCCATGACGGCGAAAAACGAAGCATATTCGGGATTGTTCTTAGACTCGGACATGTCTACGGGTAGGGAGGGGATGAGTTCTGCAGGCCGAAGCAGGGGGCGAGGCGGGCAGGGCGCGGGAGGCGGGCACAAAGACCAGCGGACAGGTGGCGGCGAAGGCGATCCAGCCCGGCAGCCGCTGCGCTCTAAATACCAGCACCGCAGAACAAAATGGCGGCCGCGGCTGTATCACATGATCCGGGCCCCGCCCCTGAGGGCTGTACCACTTTGCGCCGGCGGTGGAGCCACGGCTTGGGGCCACCCGAACTGACCGTCTCCGGGCTATTCTGTCAGCCCATCAACCCGGCCCCTGGTACCTGATCCCACCCCATCTCCGCCTGCGCGGGTTCGCCTCTGGACTCCGCCAGCCTCTCGAACCCGCTGCGTTGGACCCGTCCGACCCACGGGCCGGGGCGGGGCGTTAGTGCGCCATATTAGCATACGGGGCGGAACCTGGACGTGCCCCGCCTTCTCTGCGGCTACGCTGTTCTCGCCGGTTTTTGGTGTCAGGGACGCTTCCTAGTCTTCTTATCTATCCTGCAACGCAGAGGTGGTCGCGGCCTTGCCTCAGGCCAAGACCTAACTCCGCAGGGTGCGGGCTGGAGCATGGTCTCACCGGGATCTCCTTACAGCTCATGGGCGAGCTAAAGGTCTGAGATAACGGTTGCGGGTCGCTAGCCTCCTCTGCTTAGGTCCGGGGAGCACCTCCAACCCCCATGCATAAATCCTGGTCTGTGGCCGAAGCCCTCCAGTGTACCCGGCCTCCTTCTTCCACCCCGTCCCCAGTCTCCTTCAGACCCACCCACCATTCTCAGACTCCGTGGCCGGGGACTTCACCTCTCGATTCTGAGAAAAATGAGACCCCTCCCAGGCATCGTCCCTCCTTTGCATGTAGACGCAAACATTAGTTGGTGGTTATTTGTTCACCTCAAGATTCAGGCGTGACTGAAGACTTGTAAGTGCTGCAACATGTGGAGGCTCCAAGGATACAAGGATATCTGCACCAGAACTGCACGTTCTGGTGTCTGGTTCCTCCTGTTTGTCCCTTGACCCCAAAGTAAAACCCACGCCTGGAGAGCACCTTTCTTTCCGGAGCACCCTCGAAGCGGGGAGCTGTTCCCCTTCCGTGCAGGCAACCCCCATTAGAGCTAACGCTGCCCTGCTGATCCTGGTGTAGCAGTTCCCAACCCCCAGCCAATGTCTTATCTCCACCCACCATCTCTGGCTCCCAGTTGCCCTCTCCATCTCATCTTTTTCAGGGACTCTAGGCAGCTGCCACCAGGCCTTGGTCTCTCTTGAGTCTTCAATCCTCATTCCAGGGTGGGGTGTTCCCCCTGAATGGCCTGAGTGCCGGCTCAATAGCTTCTTCCCATAGTCAGTGGGGTCACTTTCCCTGGCCAAGCCTGATGGATGCTTTGGCCTCACCTTCCATAGCAGCAGAAACTTCCCTCAGGCCTCTTCCTCCTGAGCGAGGCTGGGTCTGCCACTCTCTGAACTTGGCAGCCTGTAAAGGCCCCCCAAACCAGACTTTTTCTTTTTCTTTTTCTTTTTTCTTTTTTTGAGACCAAGTCTCACTTTGTTACCCTCGGTAGAGTGTCATAGCATCACAGCTCACAGCAACCTCAAACTCTTGGGCTTAAGTGAGTCTCTTGCCTCAGCCTCCCAAGTAGCTGGGACTAGAGGCACCCACCCCATGCCCAGCTATTTTTAGAGTCAGGGTCTTCTTTTTGCTAAAGCTGGTCTTGAACTCATGAGCTCAAGAGCTCAAGCAATCCACCCACCTTAGCCTCCCAGAGGGCTAGGATTACAGGTGTGAGTGAGCCACTGCACCCGGCCTGACCATCCTTTTTCTTTCTTTCTTTTTTTTTTTTTTTTTT